AAATACCGATCCATCGGAAGCACTGGCGCCCACTTTGTCTCCTCTGGCGTTCCAACAGACTTCGAATATACCTCCCGTTCCCTTATATGAGTGAACCAATTGTCCGGATTGTGTCGACCAAATGTGAACGCATTTATCGAAACTGCCGGACGCCAGGAACCGGCCGTCGGGGCTGAAGGCCACCGAATAGACCGGTTCCGAGTGTTTGGTGAGTGTGTAGATACAGGTGCCCCTATCGACCTCCCAGAGCCGTACAGTCGAGTCGAATGAAGCCGAGGCCAGAATGAGCGGCAGATTCGGGTTATGAGTGTTGGGACCGGTGGGCGACCACTTAATCGTGTAAATCTCTTTCTGGTGCGCCTGCAAGTCGTGTACACACGAGTCCTGTTTCATAGACCATATCTTGAGTGTCATGTCGTCCGAACACGAGGCCAATAGAGAGCCCGACGGACACCATTTGATGGCATTAACTTCGTTGGAATGACCGGTAAATGTTTTGATTGGTTTCTCTGCACCCAATTTGCAGACATGAATGCACTGATCGGTCGAACACGAGGCGAACGACACGTTTGATTGCCAGTCCACGTCCAGAGCCGGCGCGCAATGGTATGCAAACTGTTGGGTGCACTGACCCGTCGATGCGTCCCAAATGATGGTCTGTATTCACAACAAACATAGAATGTCACCAATAGTTGACAAACCAACCAAAGAAAGGCAAACCAACCGTTTTGTCCACTCCTGCGCTCAGAATATAATTGCCTTTTTTATTCCACTTTAAGGCAAATATGGGTCCCTTGTGTTGGCCGAGAGTGGAGGCGAGTCGTCCATCGGTGGTCCAAATGCGCGCAAAGCCGTCATAACTGCCGGTCGCTAATAGAGTTCCGTCGGAATTCCAGTCCAGAGAAGTCACGTCTTTATTGGACGGAACTTCGGTTCCACTAAAAAGTAGACAACATTTCAATTAATAATTGTCTCAAACGGTTGGCAATCATTGAATTTCATACCCTTTCTGAATGCAATGCCTTAAAACCAATTGTTGAGCCGTTTGTGTCGATTCACTCATATTCCAGATCCGGGCCGTCGAGTCGCCCGAACCTGAGGCCAACAAATCAGACGCCGGATTCCACGCGCAGATGAATACCTCGCTCTCGTGTCCGCGCAAAACAGTGGCCTTCGAGGCCGGGATCTCTATCGCACTGTTGGCGCTGTTGTCTTGCATTGCGTTGGAATTGACGCTCTGTTGGCCTCCACTGCTCGCCATAGAAGTGGGCGTCGCGTTGGGCGCAGTCGTGACGCCCGGGTCCTCCGTTTTGGTGGCGTTGTCCTCAGCCATCACCACATCATTCTTGTCGCCGGATTGGGCGGCCCTTTGGCTGAGCTCTCGCTGCCGAGTGCTGACCACATCGGGCATCACGGCGTCGATGAGCGACAGGGAATCGATCTGCCGCTCGACACCGTCTTCGCCAATACTGATCTCTGCTTCGGTGAACTGCAGGCCCTTCTGAATGATGGACAAGAGGGCGGCCGGCGGTACGAGTCCTCCATTGATGTTGGACTGAGCGATGTGTGACTCCACGCCGAAAGTGAACGCCGAGTGACTGAAACCCGACTCTTGAAGGTACCGGTAAACCAAAAAGTTAACCTAAAAAAGCAATTGTCAACCAAATTAACAATCAGTTTATTGAATAAATGACTATTTGTTCAATTGATTTGACATTTGAGTGAACGTAAGGCTCATAAGTGAGTGATTGAAGGCATACCTCGTCCGACGAGAAACTCATTTCCCAAAGAGTTTTGCGAAACAGTCGTGTCTTTCGGTCCAAAAAAATAAACTCAAAATTTAAATCCAAACCAAAATTGAAAACAACTTTGAATTGAATTTAAGTCACAAAACATTAATTCAATGAATGAGTGATTGAATGGAAAGCCATCGAAACGGACGCCGATTACAGACTCACTCACAGAGGGCTGCACTCAATGCACACGTTATTTGTGAATACACTGTATATTACGCTCGCATTGAATCGACGCGTGTTTTGTGTCACAAATATTTTGCATTGAATTTCCTTTTCCTGCGAAACGATGGCTAAAGCGATCTCAAAGAAGCGCAAAGTAAGACAATTATGACCACATTTGACCACTTCCTGGACACCCATTAACTTAATTTATCACTTTTGGGGATCAGTTCGTGTCGGACGGTATCTTCAAAGCAGAATTGGATGAATTTCTGCGCCGAGAGTTGGCTGAGGATGGATACAGCGGTGTTGAGGTGCGGATGAGTCCCACGCGGACTGAGATAATCATTTTGGCGACGAGGACTCAGTCCGTGTTGGGAGAGAAGGGCCGACGCATTCGCGAGTTGACTAGTGTTGTCCAGAAGAGGTTCAACTTCCAGGAGGGAACCGTTGAGGTGAGCCCATCAGTGCCGGTGCTCTACATGTGTTGGATGTGCTAACCCTATGTCTGTGTCTTAGATGTACGCGGAGAAGGTGTCGGACAGAGGTCTGTGCGCTATCGCTCAGTGCGAATCACTGCGATATAAGCTGATCGGAGGTCTGGCCGTCCGTCGGGCGTGTTATGGAGTGTTGCGCTTCATTATGGAGTCGGGCGCTAAGGGCTGCGAAGTGGTGGTCAGCGGGAAGTTGAGGGGACAGAGGGCTAAGAGCATGAAGTTTGTGGACGGATGGATGATTCACTCCGGACAGCCCACCAACGACTACGTGGACACCGCTGTCCGACACGTACTGCTCAGACAGGGAGTGCTCGGCATTAAGGTATGCGTTGAATGGCCTCTCATTTGAATGAATTTTGATTTGATTTGTGTTTTATTTGTCGTAAACTTAGGTGAAGATTATGTTGTCGTGGGATATGACCGGCAAGAAAGGGCCAAAACTGCCGCTTCCGGACAACGTTAACATCGTTGAGCCCAAGGATGAGATCATACCGTCTCAGCCCTTCTCCGAGTCTAAAGAGGCGAAACCCGCGGCCGCCGTTCCCATCATGAGTTAGACTCGTATTTAACACTAATTTTTTGTTTAAATAACATCGTTGAGCCCAAGGATGAGATCATACCGTCTCAGCCCTTCTCCGAGTCTAAAGAGGCGAAACCCGCGGCCGCCGTTCCCATCATGAGTTAGACTCGTATTTAACACTAATTTTTTGTTTAAAATGAATAAAAATTACATTTAATTACGAAATGCTATTCACTTTGTATTTATTTGACAAACACGTGAATCAATCAATTATTAGTTGATTCTCTATTCACGCTTTGGTTTACAGTATTTTATAGTTTTCTTACAATTAGTTGTGTTGTAATCGAGTGGACAAACCTTTCATTTGACAAATACAGACATTAATGTTGAATAAATCACTTGATTTGGGTCTATGTTGTGATTTCAATGATTACTTCTCAATATACCGTCCATTTAGACAATCGTTTAAATAGCAAATTGAGTTTTTGTTAATGTGATCAAAATTAAGTTTTAAATTATAAAATTAAATAATATTTAAGCAATTATTTGCCAAAAGATGGCAATAGTTATCCCATTAGTGACACTAATTTGAGCGAAACCTAAAGTTGAGTTGTTATTCATTTTTATGGTCAACAGATGGCAGTAATGGTATCATAAGTGAAACGCTTTTGATTAAAATCTAAAGTTGACTTTTTATAAGGTTTTATTGACTAATAGATATCGCCATCGGTTTCATAAATGCAACTTAAAGTGCATTTAAATAGTCAACAGATGTCACTAACTGTCTCATAAAGGCATAAATTGCGGTCATTTCGATGGTCACTATTTCAATATAATTTCAATTTTAATTTCAATAATTAATTTATTTAATCAAATGATGCAAAATATGTTATAATTGTATTAAAAATATATAATTAATAATTGATTCAATGATTATTAGGGCCCGGAATTGAAACGCATAGAAAT